TTTTCTTTATATTTTGTTTGACCTTTTCACAATTAATATATCATTATCACCATAAATACTTGCAAAATAAGCATATCTTCTATTTTGTTAAGTCCTTTCAGTTTATCAGAAATATTGCCTAGATCCATATTATTTTCTGCTAAAAACTTTTTAGGAATTTTTCTTTCTTTAGAACAAATTTTATACGTATTCTTATCTATCGTCATTATAGGTATTCTCTTGTAACATTCTTTGCAGAATTTATATCTAATATTGTCTATTTTTTTACAAAATCCTGCAATATACAAATTTTTTCCTTGCTAATTATGGTAGCTAATTGTTGTCTTATATGATCATAAGTTTCCTCTATCATATTTTGTTCACTACTCTCTTGACCTTCATTTCTGTTTATTTCTTGACGTGCTCGTTTTCACACAGTTCTTTTATATTTGTTTTTTTAAATTTTCTAATTTTCATATTCGTTGATAGTTATTGTTACATTTTTCTTTTTTATACTTTTACGAGTTCTTTTTAGACATGCTTTTCATTATTCTTCTGATTTTCTTACCTTTTTTGCTATTTTTTCATGTTTTCATATAAGTTGTTTCGTCTGCAATTCAACCATCTCTTGATTTTTTTAGCTTGCTTTTGAATAGTCCCTGAATTAGTAGAATTGGTCATTTTATATCTAATATATTTGTACTAAATTAGTGTATTTTATAGATAGCCTTAATTCTGCCTCTAAAACAATTTTTTTTGCATTTGATTAGTCTTTTTAACAAATTTATTCATTTTATATTGTATCCAATGATTGTATTAAATTATCTTTATTTGTGACTTTGACATTCAAATACAATAATTTAATTGCTCTTTATTAATTAATTAATGTAAATTTGTCCTATACATGTGAAATTATAATTAAACTCTATTAAACAATCAATCTTGAGGAAATTTAACTCACGCCTTAATATCTTTAGCATATACTAATTTACATTATTATATAATATGTCTAACAAATAATGTTTACGTAATAAGTCTTAACAGACAATATGATTTTTATTTTAAATTATTTGTTCCCTAATATTATGTAATACATTTGCACATCACTTGCTTCACGTGATGAGCTCCAGACTTCGTAACGGTTCCCATTTTCCTAGTAATTATTAGATTCTTTTTTTATTAATTATATATTATTAACTAAAAATCTTATCATATACATTTATTTCTTTTATTACTATCAGTAATATATAAAAAATAAGTATTTTTTCCTATAATTATAAGGTTTATAATATGGGTTGATTGCTAAGAAAATCAGGTCTGAGAATTTTTCAAAAAGTTATTAGATTAAAATACATTAAGCTCTTAATTTTAGTCAAAAATTTTGATTTTATACTCTAAATCACTTTTATACAGCTTGTTAATTTTGTTTCTAATTTAATCAATATTTTATCTATTAAAATTTTACTTTTATTAAATCTTTATAATAATCTTTATTTTTATTAGTAGTATTACTTTATATAATTTTCAAAAGTAAATTAAATTTAATAATTTTAAGTATTTTATTTTTAAATTTTATCTTCTGATAATTTCTTTCTTTCTTTTTTTTTTTTTAAATACTATTGTTTTGACGAAAAATGATTTCGGAATAAAAATTCAGTATAGAAAACTTTAATAATTCGCGCAGTGCAGTATATACAGTATATTATCAGCAACAAATTTTGTATGGTCGCGCAGCTAATATTTTTATATAAGAATAGCAGGTTTGGAATTGAACATATTAACGTATATACCGTTCATATGAAAATTATATATGTCTAAAACTGAAGAATGGTGTTCGAGGTTGTTGGATTGGCCATCAAGTAGTCCAGACCTCAAGCCAATTGAAAATTTATAGGCAATTTTGAAGAGGCGTGTAGAGAAACAGGTTAATATATTGTTATATATAAAAAATCAATCACTATAGATGTTCTTCTTGATATAATTCAAAAAGAGTAGGAGGGAATTGAACCTGAAAATTTTATTAATTTATTTCGTAATACGCCATTAAGGTCAAAACAAGTAATTGAGGGTAATGATAAAAAGATAAGCTATTAATTAAGCTTAAACAACTTTTTTTTTCTTTACAATTTCAATTTATTTTAATTTTTCGTGCACTGTATATATTATAATCGTTACACAAGTTTACACAAGTTTAAATATTTTTTTTGACTAACCGAAACAGGAACATAAATAGAATTCCATTTTTAGTCGATCGTGATTTGTACATAATTAATATAAACATAATAAATCATGCATCTTGATGTCGAATTTTCTTTTTTTTAAAACACACACGTTAATTGTGGTTGGTCTATAAATTCATTATACAATGATAATGTGCTGCAAAATTAAAGGAATTATTAAATTTATTTATATGGTCGGATTTTCTTGAATCACGATATAAAATTTTCCTAATAAGTATAATTTTTGTACATTCAAAAAAAGAATTAGTATGATCGTACAAACGTTTTCTTTGTAATTTAATTTAAAACCATCAATGGACTCTTTGCGCTTTCATATTGGTTGCCGTATTCAATGTGATTTTTTCTTGTATAATTTAATACATTTATTTTTGTTATACATGACAAAGTAGTTTGGTTGTTTGATATAATGAAAATAAATATAAATGCGCTTCCATTTGAGATTTACAAAATTCGTTAATAATACATGATGAAATATTTCATTCTTCCTTTCGCGTTATTTAACACAATACTTCTCGCCTATGCTCAGGATAAGATTACCTGCGAGCAGCAATTTAGTCTACAGGGAACTACATGTACGCCTTGTCAACAAACACTTCATAAATATCCATTTTTTGATTTAAATTCCGTCATAAATAAACAACCACCATCTGACAAATGCTTGGTCGCTTCAATTTTTCAATATCACTTAACTGAAGGAAATGCTGCTTCCACGCCAAATGATTTATTGGATCCGGTAAACGTAAAGAATGCTTTAGACAAAACTTGTGCTGATACCGCAAATAATGCTTGTAGCGAAGATTATGTTGAAAGAGTTTATACTGAAATCGATAAAACTTGTGATGCGGAATTAAATAAAAATTTCAACGGGACACCTGATCCTATTGGATCAACAGCTTTGGCGACTTTGATTATATTCTATGTTTCTATACCTACGAGAACTTATTTCTGTACTAAAATTGAGGGTGGTAAGTTATTTTTATTAAGTTTAGTCTTTTTATTTTTATTCCTTTACGATAAGATATTTATTTCTTTTCAAAATATTTAGAATATTGTTACAACAAATTTTTGAAGGCAGCAAATTCAACACAAACTCAACCCCAAGGCCAAGGCCAAGATATTAATCCTTTTTTTGATATTACATGTGATGATTGTACCCGAAAAACTCGCGATAAATTCAAAGAATTTCAAGCATCACACCCTCTTAATACTCCCAATTTACAAAAAGCCTTTGCTAATGTTACCAAATCTCAAGATGAATTTGATGCAAAATGTGGTAAATCAAGCGCTAATTCAAGCTCTAAATCAAATGGACATCGAATTATAAATGATTTTAGTAAATGCTCTGGAATTTTAATGGGATTAGTTGTATTCTTTTATATGAACTTATTGTAAAGTTATCCCTCTTAATCCTTTATCATGGTTTTTTTTTTGTTCCTTTATTTTAATAAATTATAATAAATAACAATATAATAATATAGATAGCGTTTATAATGAAGTAATGATTTTTACATTATCATCATATTTTCGTGTAACATTTATCATTCAGAAAATAATCTTACATTACGCATTACGAAAAATACTCATAGCATTGAATAAAATTGATATTGGACCAAAATAAAGAAATGTAATGTATATGCATAATAAGAAAATTTATTCATTGTACTTCAAAGTAACTTAAATACAGTAAAATTTTAAAAATTATATTCTTTATTACTGTATATGCAGTAAAAAGGAAGAAAATTACTAATTAAAAAAAAAATTAAATTTACTTTGTATGCTAAATAAGATTTTTAAAGCAAATATCAAAAATTGTTTTATAGTTTCCTCCCTTTCTACTGCAAAGCACCTATAGTATAGCGGACATCGCGAATTTGTCATAATTCATTTTAGTGAATGGACCCGTCCAAAAAACACGACCCGGGTCATCTGACGGTTGAGTGATCCGGTCTCAAAATTTTACCTATGCAGTATATTTTATTTTTTCCTCCACAATGTCAAATGACTCATTATTTATGTGCTAAACAGGTTTTTTGTAAAGTTACTTATGCATCAGACAAAATCCGTTTGGAACGGATGAAGCAGGATCGATAAATTCTTTGAAATTATTATATTCATAATCATTACCCATAATTCTCGAAAAAAAATAGGAAAATTATAAATAAATTTAAGTTATAGCCCGTAAATTTTATTTGTTAGCTAGATTCCCAAGAGAATAATGATAGTAATAATCCTATGAAGCTATAATTATCTCAGTAGCGCATATATTTTTTTAAGGTAAAGCTTATTAACATTCATTTGTGCATTTCCGACCAAGCGAAAGGGTGAATAAAGAGCAAAATTAATGAAATTATAACAGAAAAAGGTTTTGAAGATTATTTTAATAATACTCTGGAAAATTTGCCAAAAATTGAAAATTCACACTATTTTTAAATTTCAAACTCTCGTTTCAATGACTACGAAACATGAAATTTTAAATTTTATGCAAATTTAACTCAAATACGAGGAGCAAGCTCAAGTCATGTTTTTTTTTTTAAAAAAAAAAAAATCAAATGCAGCTATAAAAAGAGATTTTATTCAAAACTAATATTTACACAATAAGTTTGGATGGGATAATATATATTTTTATACATAGACGGGGAAATACGGTTCCAACCCTTGATTGACATTGAGAAAAAATGAGATGAAATATGTATAAGAAAAAGTTCAATTTATGACGAAAGATAATTATTCGAAGGAGTTCAAACAAACTTTAAATTAGGACAAGTGGATAAATTAATTCCTTTAATCCGTCCCACATACATCAATACTTTTGAGTTGTAATAATAAAGGTTCGATCTTTTGCCAATCAGCTAAATAAAGACTATTTTTAAAAGATTCTGCTCTAATAATTTTTTCAGAAATAGAAATTTCTGAGTCATCCCATACTTTAATCGTCTCGTCTATTACTCTAGTAGCCGAGGATCCGTATTTACTTTTCCCATTCTTTAATAGATTCAATACTTCTTGTACGATATTGACACGATCTAATTTAGCCTGCAAAATAGTTAATTGCTTTTTAGTTTCAAGATGTTTACCTGTTTCTTCAGTTAAATGACGTTTAGTTTCTTCATGATCTTTATTAGCAAGATCTATTTCATTCAAATGTTCCAATTGCTCTCCGATTTCAATATGACGAACTACTTCTTCAGATAAATTATTACGAATGGTTTCTAATTGGCGTTTAGTTTCCTCCCGATCTTTATGTGCATTATCTAAATTACTCTTCGTAGTCGCTAATTGCTCTTAGGTTTCACGATGCCTTCCTACCTCTTCGATAAAATTTTTACGAATGGTTTCTAATTGACGTTTAGTCTCTTCCCGATCATTATTAGCAAGTTCTAATTCAGCCAAAACACAATCTCTAATTGCTTTACTGTTTCACGATGTTTACCTGCTTCTTCAGTTAAATTATTACGAATGATTTCTAATTGTTCTTTGGTTTCACGATGATTATCTGCTTCTTTGGTTAAATGATTATAAATAGTTTCTAATTTAAAATTAGTTTCTTCTAAATTACATTGCGTAGTTGCTAATCGCTCTTTTGTTTCACGATGATTATCTGCTTCTTTGGTTAAATGATTACGAGTTGTTTCTAATTGAAGTTGAGTTTCTTTCAATTGGGTTTTTAAAGTTTTGCAAGCTTCGGTTTCTTGTCCTAACGAAGTTATTTTAAATTCTAACCGGTTTCCTAAATTTTTAATTCCTTCAATTACCTTGTCCTCATTATTTTTACTATCGAAAGCTTCTTTTAACCCATTTATACTTTCATTTAACTTTTCAATATTATTAATCAATTTTTCGCTTTCTTGATATTCATTTATCCTCCTTGGGAAATTTTTATTATTCATTTGGCTTCATTTATTGATATTGTTGTATTCGGTTCTTTCATTTATGTATTTATAAACAATTTTGTAAGCAGAAGGTTTTTATTGAATAATTATTGAGTAATAATGAAGTTATTTTGACAAAATATATATTTAATAATATCAAATTAATCAGAGTTGCCTCAACGTCGGCGCTCTACACTTTCGCAATGTCAATATATTAGACTAAGTAAATGCCAATCTATAAGCTCTAATTAAAACCGCGCAATTAACGACAATTACGAAAAAAATTGATAATAAAAATAATAAGAAAATCGAAATTAAAAATAAACGAAGTTACAAATACGAAATTTAAAATGTTAATGCGAAAATATCGAGGGAAAAAATAATTGTTAGGCTAGCCTGGCATCTTTGACACTTTGTCATACTAGGCACCTTGACAGCTGGTAAATGATCAAAAGACTGACTGCAAATATCGAAAGCGAATTACATGCGTATTATGGGAGTTTTCGGGCAAAATTATATTTAGCGTAATAATATACTAACCAAATAGGGTTAGAACACATATTCAGCTCCAACAAAACTTAATTTTCGTGGATAGAAATCTCGATGGTCGTGATTACGCCCAAATAAGGATTAGTCGAAATTAAAAGTCATTACGATTTATATAAAGATGAAGGAAGTTAAATTTAGAAACATAAAGCCCCGAGAATTAATCGAATGATGATAACTTGACTTGAATTATCAATACGTACTACATACTTATATCTCTTTTCGCAATTTAAGATTTTACTTTTCTTTATGATTGATCTTAAGTTTAATCAAAAAAAAAAAAAAAATAAATCAACGAAATATTTCATTTGGAAAAATACCACCAGGATTCATGTAAATTAAAGCAGGGTATATTAATACCGAACTTTTTTTATATTATTTTATAGTTACAAACAACAAGAGAAAAAGTCATTTAGAAAGTCCCATAAAAATTTTATAATTAGGATAATGTCTATTAAATTTCACAATTAAATTTTTTGCTTCTTGTTCACAGACATGTTTATGCCTACATTAAAACCTATCATTACAAATAAACCCTATATTAAGGAGTTTATTAGGTAATAACAAGTCAAGTTCTCTATGTAAGAGTTGTTTTGCATTGAGGAACAGCAAATCAGCTTAGTTTTTTTTATTATAGATATACATGTAAATCACAGAATCTTAAACTGTTACCTCACTTGTCTTATGAATCAAAAATGAAATGTAATCATGCACATATACCGTTGGAGCGCCGACTAAAAAACGCCCATGCAAAATACCCTCCTAGGTTTTGAATCAAAAATTTGTAAAAGACCCCTACTTTATAATGGTGAAATCAGTTGTGTGACCCTATGTAAAATACCCAGGATTTGGGGTGATTCGTGCTCTAAGCAATCTTGGAATTAATGCATCATTGTCCGTCTAGCCATTCCTTGTATGCAAAATTTTGGTAAATCAAATTATGAGATTTAATAATCATAATATCCGTAACTGGTAACGCTCCCATATTATAATTTTCACAAAGCCATTAGCTAGCTTATAATAACAAGGCAACGGATCCTCTTATGAGTTCATGACATATTATGATGTAATCTATAATTAAACGTAATTATTTTATATTTAATTAATAAAGAAGCTTATTTATTTTGAAAATAAAGGACCTTAGTTTTTTGTCTGTGTTTCAAATAGTTAAATATACAAAGGTAAAATTCGCTAGAACAATTTAATACTAGGCGACTATAAAATTTAAGTTTTTTTTGAAAAAGGTTCTACTGATTTAATTTATGAAAGAAACGTGTATTTCTTACGAGTATATTATGATAGATTATTGGATCTTTCTTAGAATAAAATTTCATTTTAAATTTTTAATGATTTGCATAGCATATTCTTTAAGAAAATTATTCATATATTTTAAAGTATTTCTAAAATTATTCAAGTTCATTATTTTAAAGTTTATGACATTGAATATTGAAATAATGTGCCTATAAATCATTCTTATACCTTCTTGTAAATATATCAATCATACTGTTCCCATCTATTTACTGAGTTTTAGCCGCTCCTATAGTGGGATAAAGGCGAATGTATTGTACCTTACCTGCTAAAAGTTTCTTGAAATTTTTTTTAAACAGCATATGGGTTGATTGCTAGGAAAATCAGGTTCCGGGAATTTTTTAGCAAAATTGAGATTTTTATTGCATTTTAGTTTTTGATGTTATTAGATTAAAATGCATTAAGCTCTTAATTTTAGTCAAAAATTTCTCGGAACCTGATTTTCCTAGAAACACTCCCATATATTCTTATCTAATAGAATGAAATCCAATATATTGCATCACAATCACTGTGATAATGCAAGTTAGTCTTCTGTATGTTTTTTCAGTTTCTCTATAATTATCTGAATTGAGTATCACAAGTTGTATTTTTTCTTCAAGGATTCACTTCATGAGTTTAGATCTAAAGTAACAAAAGCAGTTCTCTCATATTACTACCACTTTGTTGATTTCTTACTATATATTCATTTCAGAAGAATAACAAATCCCCTGCACTTCAATTGAATTCTGAACAGATATCACTAATAATTTCATGTCCTAGGTTTTGCTTTTTTAGCATTTTTAGTATTTGTTATATTTAGAAGGTTTTTTTTAGGTATTACTTCTTTATATTAGATCCATTTAGCTATTTTTTATTACTTAACATTTGATTAAAAAAGATAAAAAGAAATGGTAAAAAAAAAATGCTAAAAGAAAAATTAAAATTAATAGGTAAAAAAAGATGAAAATAAAAAGTGAAAAAAGATAAAAAAAAGATAAAAATAGAAATTTGCACAAAACATTTTAATGTTATAAGACTTTAAATATTACATCATTAATAATTGTATTATTTTAATAATAAAAAAAAGGAATTATAATAATTTATTTATTAAATGAAATAAACTTACTAAATAAAATCATTAAATGTTTATCATTTTTCAAGTATACTCACCTAGCAAAAATGACCGACCAACAATAATTTTGCGATTAAATACCTCATTTTTAAATAAGTATATTTCGATA